CATTCGACCAATCATATCTAAGCCTCCCGGCTCATTACCCAATCAGAGCGCTCATGCTTCTTCCTCCTCTTGAATAACCCAGAGAGGATGTTGGGGTGGGGGTTGGGTGAATGATGGGAGAACAGGACTGAAATGCGAAATATCGAGGAGGTGGGGGTGGAGTTTGGGTCACGGTAGGATGTTGTTTGGGTCATGGAGCAATGGAGCGTGGGACAGAGATAAAGAGACAAGAGAAGCAACGGGAGAAAGAGAGAAGGACTTTGTGTTTGCGAGGTCATTAAAAATCCAATGCTCCAATGGTGCAGTGAGCAGAAACAAGGCTGCTTTCATGTCGATCCCATCCGCCTGTGTGTGATCAGCCAGGCCTCTCAGCCTCTGAGGCCTCAATTAGCAGAGAACTTATCATCTGTGCTGTTGCTCACTCTGTGCTCCACTGCTTTTGTCTTCTTGGGCTCCAGGCATGAGATCATGTGGGGTGATATGTCTGTGGGGTAATGGTTTGACCTCAGCTGACCCTTTGAAGACCACAAGTTTTCTTTATGTAATGCTGTTATGTATGCTTTCACTCTTTAGACGTTAATTATCTTGACACATTCAGATAGCCACACGCAGACATTCGTTTAAAGTAATAAATTGTCGAAAAATAAAAAGAAATTCAACTAGGGCTGCAGCTATTAGACCTGTTTAATTTAAGAAATCGAAGAAATTCAGCTAAGTAGGACTCCAGTGATTAGAGAAAGTCAACTACATCGATTATAAAAAAAATTGATGACATAGATTTTTTATTGTGTAGGAGCACTGGATGATGTTCAGTCTGTTTTAGGATGCTGTCGGGACGATGACGTCATGTGTGTTAATACTTAAAATTTGTAAAATATACAATCATAAAATCTTGAGCTTGCCAGTGATTCATATCAGCCATAGTGTTTAGTGCAAAACCCTTTAGCCAGTGATGAGCATCTTTGCTGTCAGAACAAAATCTCAAAAATGGTAACTGCAGGAAAAGGAAAACTCTTCTAATTTTCAGTGGATGTTAAAGTAAAAAGACTGATTTCCAAGACTTTTTGGATCATTTCTACTAGTCCATTCATCATGAACTTTTCACACAGTCTAAAAGGCAGCTTGAACTTTCAAATTATGTAATAGAATAAAAGACAAAAGTGGAGATATAAAGTTTTGTCCCAGTGATATACTGTCAACTAGGCAGAATCATATAAACATATAAACATATAATCATATAAACAGAAAAGGAAAATAGTTAAATGATGACAGAAATGACAATAGATAAAAAGATAAAAAAATAGAGTAAATGATAAACTAAAAAATAATATAAGGGTTTTAAATAGAAACTTATTTTATTAACCATTTGGGCATTTTAATAACCAATTAAAATATTCATTTTTAACTATACAAAAACTGTACAAAAAATACATTTCTTATATAAATGATTATTCACTGTAGCAGAAACATAATCATTAGATTAAATGATTCATTGAAAAAAAGATGAAAGATTAACTAATTGTAAAAGTCATTGTTACTAGCCCGGATAGAGAGATGTGGCCAATACGTGTTTAGTATCCGAAATTTGCTTCTTTAGTTTTGCATTGGAGCTAAGTGGCTGATGTGGCTAATAAGCAATGGAAGCTTATAGCTCGCAAATTAATGTTGTGCAAACTGCATGCCCAATTCATCTCACACTTGCTTCAAACCACATGAAGTTAAACATATTAGCAGTAGACTTGCTTGTGTGATTTCAGATACTAAACAATATAATGTTATCTATACAGTGGACAAAAGAATGTACAGTAGTACTGCACACAGTAGTACTGCACACAGTAGTACTAGCCAATGCTCATAGTAGTTGTAGTAGTCATTTTGAAGCCTGAATTCTGTCTACGCGTTGCCCATTTTTATAGATAACAGTAGTGAGTTCAGACACCAACTTCAGACACCAAAGACATCTTGACTGATTACGTATCATCACTGTCTGGACAATAAAGCAACATTTTTTCCAGATTTTTGTTGACTGTTCCTATTGGTCTGTTTATCATGAAATGCTCACATATTATAAAAGGCAGCTGGCATTATCAAAATCAGTTCATTTCTGAAAAAAAAAATCAGGACACAGGTTTTTTCCCCCAACTGTAATGATTTTGAGTACAGGGAAATGTATTTTTAAATAGAAGTAAGTGTGTATGTCCTGGTCCTGTACGTTTTCCTCATGGCTGCTCTTATCCTCATGTCAGCGTCGCTCCAACGTGGGCGTGTTTGTCCGGAGAGGCGCCGATTACGGTCACTCTCCCTGTCCGCTGAGGCTAATCCTCTAATCAGCCCTGTTCCTCTTCACTCTCTCTAATCTAATGGGATTAAAGTATCAACTGAACTCTAAAACTGCTGCAATTACTCTGAAAAAAAAAAAAACATAGCGCAGAGGAAGAGGAAGTCGGTGCCTCCATCTGGATGGAAGGCCAGCCAAGCCTGCCTGGCTGCTGTAGTGATTATGAATCGGCTCTTAATTGGCTAGTCTGGTTAGGTAAAGGTCATATAAATAAATGAAGTAGCTGCATTTTGTGCAGTCTCTAAAGATGTAGCTCGCTAAAATGCTGAAAATAAACACACTCATGCCTCGCGGGCACTTCAGATAAACACTAATGTAATCGTATTAATCTGTCTCTAATTCAAATCATGACTTTTGTGATACGGTTCACAGGAGTCGATTAGTTCTGTATAACTTTAGTATTGTAGCATTGTTCCCTGCCTTTGTGGAAATTAGTTCCTCAGGATTTAGGCACAAACAACCACACTCGGATTGTATTTCTTGGTTTGTGTTCTTTACTGTGTATCCTTATTGAGCACTGGATTCAGGAAGGCCCTGTACAGTGGCTTGGAAATGTATGACCATGACTGTTGGTCACTCCTGCCCCTAACTCAAACAGATGGTACAGCTGTACTAGTGATGATATATATATATATATATATATATATATATAGGCACCTAAACATTTGCATTCAGTATAACTTGGGCCATTGTTACAAGAATACCTAAATCTAACACAATTTGGTCTACAAACTGCCATGATAGTGTAAAGCTAAAACAAAACATTTTACTGACATAACAAAACAATAAATCAATGAAATCATATACAGTCATCTGCAAATGTTTGGGCTCCCCTCTTAAAATTTTATGTTTTGTTTATTTTCTAAGTAAACGTAAGTTTACACATCTTCTACAACAGTGTTTCCCAACTCAGTCCTCAGGCAGACAGTCCAATTTTTCCTTCATCCCTATGTGCGAGTTAAGGAGGAGCAATAATATTGACCATCTGAGGCCCTGAGGACCGGATTGGGAAACACTGCTCTGCAGATTTTATTAAATAATAAATCAATGTGGCCTGTGCAAAACTGAAGGCACATTTTATGTTTCACTTTTTTTTTTTCCAAAATGTTAGGGTTAGGGTTAGATTTAGATTTTTTATTTGTCATTTATCTGAGAATGGACAGGTTAGAGAGGTGAAATGAGGTCACGGGTCGCTAGCAACCTGAGTTATGGATTTAACCCTAGCAAACATGCATGCTTGAACGTGCAGGCATTTTACTATAGTTCACTGTTTGATTGCAGGATAGAAGAAGGGGGTTCTTGCTGGTGTCAGAAATGATATGGGTATGCAGGAAAGCTAGGACACATCTATATGTATGTTCTCCAGTATATTGTCCTGAGAATATAACTGCCCAAGCCAAAACTCCCCATGGACAGGCCTGTGTCTTGGACATACAGGCCGGGCTGAGGCTGAATGTGGGCTGCTTGTGCCTGTGCTTTGGCTGGGCTTTTAAACTGGGTTAATGAGAACACTGCTGAGAGTCCGTCCCTCTGAAAAGTTCACCAACGATTACATAGACGCTTGGCTTCCAGCAAAGAGAGAGAAAAATACGGGAAATGCTGTTTTTTATGGTAATGTACAATATAATTGCTGCTGTATTTAGCTCAGTTTGTCATTTCCAGCATACTGTGCTTCCTCTTTACCACCCCCTTTGAATTGATGCTGTGCTGTATAAAAATGCAGCATGCTTATTTGGTTGGGATGGGAGACTGAACTGGAGCTATGGCATTCTCCTGATGGCCAGTGTGTGAATGCTGGACCACACTGACCAAACAAACACAAACATTTGCTTAGTGTTTCATACCTGAGTTTGAATGCTGCGAGAGTTTAGAACGTTATGCCCTCGTTCACTCTGGGTCATTTGACTCGTCTTTTTTTTTCTAAAGACAAGTGCAAACATTAGAATGTTTTTGTTTGTCATAGAATGTTTAGTCAATGTGATCTGACTTTAAGGGGGTATTCCACCAACTTTTCAAAATTTCTGCATTAAACGGTTATGATGTAAACAAAGTCATTCAGAGTAGTTCTTTCCCAAGAAATGAGTGATGGTGATAGGAACCAGACGTCTGAAAAGTTTCTTGTCTATAAAAGCGCCTTTGCAGAAAATTATTACATAAAATAGTTATGAATAGTTAGTTTTGCGATATATTGTTGACCTAAAACATTTTTAAATCCATTCATGGCGGAGAGGTACATGCAGATTTTGTAAGCCAAAAATGTCTCCAAAAAAAATGTGTAGGTTCGCTGGTGGTTTTGGATAGTAAATAAAATGGCTATTTTTGTGTTGTAGACATCGTGACCCCTGGTTCCTATCACCACAACTGTAAAGACATCAGAGTTTCTCTACAATGAACCATTTCACATCAGACTCTGAATGACTCAACCAGTGAATTATGCAGAAAATTCAATGGAATTCCCTTTTAAGACACATCCTGAGTGATTGCTGACATGGTGCCGTTTAATGTAAGGGTTTTCTTGGAATATTCTACAATATGTCAGTTTGTAGGTCTGTGCACCAATAAAGTACAGACTGTTCTTTCCCGTCGTCTTTCTCTTCTAGCGTTTTCTGATCTACCTCTTTCCTCTTATAACCTGTTTGCCTCCCTTTCTCTCTGTCCTCAGGTCCTTAAGATCAATTTGATTGGGCACAGAAAAAGAATTCTCGCGTCACTCGGAGACCGGCTACACGAAGACCCTCCACAGAAACCTCCACGAGCTATTTCTCTGAGGGTCAGTATCACACACACACACACACACACACACACACATACCATACACTACATGCTGCATACCATCCCACCAGGAACTTGCAGTCACAAGTTTATGCAAATTCAGCCAATCCTCGCAATATATGTAAGGACCGACAACAGTGTTCCATCCCTGCATTATTTACATATTAAATGTAAATCATGTACCTGATTTCACAGCTAATGTAAGCATGCACACTGTGCAACATGCTGTGTACTGTGCAGACCAAAATAATCCCAGTTTTTTAATGTAAGAAAATATCATGCTGTTCTTGGAGTCACACAGTGAACCTGGATGTTCTACCAAAATAAGTTTAAGAGTGCTTTATTGTACTTCTTCTACTCATGTTCTATGACTATTTATCTGTAGAAATATATTACTTGTTTTCTACTTTCATTACACAATTTTAATATAAAACATTAATAAACGCTTAACAATGTTATTATATTTTCTAGTCTGTATGTTTTTATTCTCTATTGTGGTACACTTAATTCAAGGCTCCTACAGATCCTTGAACGGTCTCATAAAGTCTTAAAATAGATATAGAATTTACGGTCATGTCTGAAAATGTCTTATTTTGTACTATTAGAGGTTTGAAATGGAGGGACGTCCAGACATGTTTTAATGGACAAGGTATTAGCTGTAATAAGCCTGATCTGGTTCAGAATTGTTGTTTCTTTTTTGCTTGCTGTTTACTCTGCTGTTGCAGAGATGCCATAAACATACATTATTCCACAAACTGCACAAGTTAGGCACATTTATAGAAGGTAATCAAGCAGTTTAAGTGTCAGTTTGAAGCTACTTTAAGGTTTAAAATGAAAACTTGTAATATCTTCAGTGCCAGTGTTTCTGCTGTTTGAATTACCATTGAATTAGTCTTTTGTCTAAACCCGACACATAAAACATGAGTGTGCGGCTGTTCTAGTCTGTTTTCTTCAAACATGTAGAACACACACTGACCACTGATGAAGGGCTAAAAAATGGCAAAACTGATCAAGTCAAACAGAATGAGAAGGCTGTGTAAGGATCATGCAATCTTGAAGCATGTTCATGCTTTTACAACCAATTTGTTTGAATAAAATAGTTAGAGTACAAGCAGTATTTGAGTTTGTGTACACTATTGTGCAGTTCAAATGGTTTTATTTTTGCTACGATGAGGTCTTTAAAATTGTGCAGCAACTCTGCTATTGTCCAATTTGTTTCTCCCTTGTGGAGAAAACAGGAACGCTGCAAATATTGCAGCTGCACAATCAAGCATTTTAGCCCACAACAATCAGAAAAACATGTCTGCACGATAATGGTGGGACTAATAAAAGCAGCATGGCTGTCATTTTCTTCCCCTGCTGATAGATACAGCGGAATACAGTACCTGTCTTTATATCCCACTAATAAAATAACTGGCACTGAAACCCTAAAGTTATGTATAATGACAACATGCAACTATTAGAAAATGCAAAGCTGCGGCACATATACTCAACCAAATCTCTCTCCTTCTCTCTCTTTTTTTCCTTTCTCTCTTCAGTATCAGCTCTGCCGCTGTCCTTAGGGACGCCTCCACTTCTATTTAATTCTCTTCTCTGTAAAAAAAAAGTGCTAGACTGTTCCTTTACTTTCACATTAATTACATCTACAGTATGAGGAGGCCCAGAACTCGCCTTGTAATCCTTTACACACTGTATGTCTTCCCTTTTCGCAAAAGGCAGGAAAGAAACCCCCTCCCCTCTCCATTTCTATCCGAGATGATCTCGTTGTACATTCAGTGCTGGTCATGCACTTCATTGCGATGGAGTTCATGGTTCTGACTCTGGGGACTGAAGGTGCTTTTCCTGTGAGACTGTCTGGATCGTGTAGCTTTTCTCCAATGTCCCAAAGGCAGCAGAGGGTTCTGCAGTAAACCTCTACCTAACAGCAGGGACAGGGCAGTGCAATGCACATCAGATGGCCAGTATAGCTTTTTATTTATTTAAGCAGAGTTTTGTTTGTCTTCTGGCCATTTTTCTCACAGCTCGTTCCCGGTGGGAATCTGCCCTGCCAGGTACCTTTTCTGAGCCATATGAAGTCTGCTGCCACTGCATTTTAGATACTGGCCAGGGCTCAGTCAAATAACATGCGTTTGACTCTAAACACATTAGCACACGGATACACCATATGACAGGTGAAGTGCTTGGCGTCAGGAAAGAGAGAGATTCTGTCATCCTTCCCCAAGAACGCTGGCAATTGGAGTTCTCAAAAGCCCTCAGCCAAAGAAGGCACTTGGCATTGCTGGCATTCAAACCAGAATCCCAACAGAAAAAGACTCGCATCAAGGAATTGTTCGACGCAAAATCAATTTTACACAATTTTCCTCAAATTTAGTTGATCAGCCAAGACATTACTGTCTTTAAGTTTCTTTAGTTTTGCACTAGAGCTACAAGGCTAACGTAGCTAAGAAATAATGGAAACTAATGACCACCAAATAGCATTGCTCAAACTGCAGGAATAAAACATCACACACTTGCCAAACCATGCAAAGTTGTTAAGTAATCCTCTAAGGCTTTGTTCAAACGGACAGCTCAGATCTGCTTTTTTGGCATATATAAGCAGGACAGATTTTCTGCAGTCTGAACGGCAGAAACCACATGAAATTCCAACTTTTTTCCAGTCGGATTTAAGCCACATTTGTATGTGGTTTCAAACCTGATTCAAATCAGACCATGCCAGTAAGAATGTTTTTGTGTTTTTGTTTTATTTTGGTTTGCCAAAAATTCACACATTTGTATATTCTAGCTTAAACACATTGATGCTTTTACAGACATTTACGATAGGTAACGTGTCTGCTTTAGTAAAGATTTGAACTTGTGTTTGAGTATTACTAATAGAGGTTGTTAGCTAACATTATTTGCTGATTAGGTCATCCAGCTCTATTGTCTATTTATTCTCTATTTATCAGTCTGTTATCAATATGTAAGCTTGTAAACGCAACCCATTAGCTAATTTTGGCCAGCCCATCTCTACTCAGTGTACTCACACATGAGTTGTTACTGTGGCAACCATGTGGAAATGCAATTATAATCTGACTTTACAAATCCGATTTGGTCACTAAAAATTAGATCTAAGAAATAAATCTAATTTGCCTTCTAATAGATTTGTTTATGTGGTTTCTGACACTGTGTGATGTCCTGTTTTCTGTATAACCTATATAAAGCGGTAGTAGAAGCCAGCTTGAGACCTGAGTTTTGTCAATTTTTCAAGGACTCTTTGGATAACTAACACATCTTGCCTGATCGACTACATATGGGGTAATGGGGGAAATTACATACATTTGATTTTTGCCCCTATGGTGCTTCGCTACTGAACTATTGGGTCAAAATAACCTATTATAATTATAATATTACGTATAATATTCTAATATATTATAATTCAGGTTTCCATACAACCCAAAGATGATATGATACTGGTGCTAGTGTTCTTAAAGGGGAATTCCACTGATTTTTCTGCATAGTTCAGTTGTGAAAATGTCGTTCAGAGTGGTTTGATGTGAAACTTGATGTTCATTGCAGAGAAGTTTACTGCCTCAGATTTCTGCATGTGATAGGAACCAGCTGTCACAATGTCTACAACACAAATATAGCCATTTTCAGAGTTTTTATATGTAATGTTGATGATAAAATACCAATGAATCAGGAAAATAATTTTTCTTCGTGAACTATTTTGCCTCACACCACCCTGCATGTACCATGACGGGATTTTTAAAAAAATATTTTATGCCAAATCTTATTTCAATACTATCATAACACAATGTCTCAGGCATCAGGCAGTGTATTTATAACCATTTTGTGCAAACCTTTGAGTGAGGGAGCTTTTAGGGGCGTTAAACCTGTCAGACATCTGGTCCCTATCACCACTACTGTGAATAATTCTGACTCAGTTTCTCTAGAATGGAGCATTTCACATCAAACCACTCTTTATGACTATGTTTACACCATTTAATTATGCAGAAATTGTGAGTAAAAAAACACTGGAATTTCGCTGTAATTCTAATGTGCTATATCTTTGCCGCATCGCCCCCTGTAGGAGCCCAGCGGGAATCACACTCCTCCTCAGCTGTCCCCGTCTATAAGCCAGACGGCCTACCCCAACGCCGGCTCACTCGACGTCCAGCACCTCATCATGCAGGCCGACGCCAGGCGCAGGCGCAATGACAACTACTTCGAGGACGTTCCACGCTCCAAACTGGAGAGGCAGATGGCCCAAGTCAGTATGGTGAGTGAGTGCACTTCACTGAAGTGCGCTACCTCAGAGCGTTGACGTATGTAAGAGGCATTAACTGAGGTAGCAGCAGCGGAGAGTGTTGTTTATATCCCATGACAGCATATGAAATTCTTATGTCAGTGCAGTTAGCGCTTGTTTGTGTGAGCGCAGACGTTTCTGTGGCTGATACAGATCACTGTTAAAAGAGGCTATATGTAGCCCTGTTGTATAACAAGCTCTTTAGATGGATGTGATCTGACATTTACCCAACATGCCACAGAACGACAAATGTGGGCTTCCTTCCTTCGTGAAAAGTAACCTCAGTGGCAGGTGGCATTTCTGTGTGAGTGTGCGTGTTCGTGTTTGTCTTTGATCTTTTATTATGCTGATAGAAGGCTTATCACTTCACTATTCACACTAGCTCCTGTTTAGATGTCGTGTGTGTGTTTGTGAATGCATGTGTGAATGTGCTTATGTTTAGCAGCCTTTTGATCTCTCATGGTGCTGATGGAGAGCTTATCACTGGTTGCACTCTCTCCTGTTTGCCTCTCTCTTAATTGTGTCCATCCGTGTGTATGTGTGTGATTACTAGATATGAATGGAATGATTCATTGCACTCCAAAGCATAATGACTGAGGATAAATAACACCTCTGTCTGTCTCTTTATCAGTCACTCCAGCTCTGCTGATGATTGAGAGCAGAACTGTGTGTACCAGGGGCAAAAATAGTTTCAGCAGAGATACGTATGTGTATAAAGAAAACTTCAGCGGAAACTGACCTGAATAGCAAATGATGATTGTGGAATATGAAATGAGAAAGATAACAGCTGAACATATGACCTGTGCTCATTTCAGCTTACATTTAGGAGAATGTGTACATGTACAGTACTGTGCAAAAGTCAGAGACCACCTTTACATTTGTTTAGCTGGCAGTCAAAACAGCCATTAAGTAAGTTATTAAGTAAGTTATTAACTTTTACTTAATGGTTGTTTCAGCTGGAAATCGAATACATGAAAGGGTGTTATCAGACTTTTGCACAGTACTGTACATGGCTGAGTTTATGTTCTAACAACAGTCATTTACGTTCTGTTTTTCAGCAAGGGGAATGGTGTGAGCCAATCACGTTGCGGCCTCCCAATGAGGCGACATCATCCACTCCTGTACAGTACTGGCAGCACCATCCAGAGAAACTCATATTCCAGTCATGTGACTATGAGGCCTATGTAAGTGTGTGTGTTTTGTCTCCAATTACATGCATGCTAGTGTGTTTGTCCTTGTCCCTGTAAATGTAATGTGCAATGACAGACTCAAGGGTTCTTTTGTTTTATGAATCTCAAATTTACATTCCTATTGAGCAGCAAATAATTGCAGTGCAGTGCCTTTGTTTTCAGCATTTCCATAACTGCTACTGCAACTACTCCAGTCAGCCAGTGCTTCAAAGGCACTCTGTTCATCTGTTTCATGTGCTGTGTACCGTCTACCTTCTATGTTGACATGACAACAGCAGGTTGAAAAACATAAATGACTGTATTCCTATGTAAGCTAACTGATATGACAATGTTTAATTACTTAGGTATTTGTCAAGTAATTCACACTTTATGAAGATCTTCAATGGTTCTTAAGTAAAGAAAATGGTTCTATATAGAACCATGAACACTGTAAGAACCCTTTGCATGATTGAAGAGTTTTTTGCACTGTGAAAGAGTTTTTCAGATTGATGAAGAATGTGCTGTAGAAGATTCTATTTTGAACCTTAAGGAAAAAGAGTTCTGTATAGCACCAAAAAGGTTCTGCTGTTGTTATGATGTCAAGCTTGTAACAATAGAAGAACCCTTTTTGGTGCTATATAGAACCTTTTCTAAAAAGTTCTACATAGAACCATATTCAGTACATTCTCCATCAATCTGAAGAACCCTTTCACGATGCAAAGAATCATGCAATCATGCAGTTTTTTTTGAGTGTTCATCGTTCTATATAGAACCATTTTCTTTACTGAAGAAAACATGAAGAACCATCTTTTTTAAGTGTGTATCACTAACATTACCATTTACTATGCAAAAGCCATCAAAACACATCATATTAATTAACAAAATTGCCAGGCCCAACAAATCTACACAGATCACTGGCTAATAACATTAGCAAATTAAGGTAACGCCAACAAGATTGATGTTATTCATAGATTAAATTATATATTCTCATACAGCAAAAGGACATGTGACTAATAGAGATGAGTCTCAAAAAGAAGATCCAGCTCGATGGCTAGGTCTTAAATGCAAACTCAACATTATGCTGATTAAGATATGATGACACTAGTAGATCATTCACATCCTTGGAAGACACATCCTTCAAATGTTGACTGAGTTCTCTTTGAATACTCTTTCAATGTGCTTGCAGTCATCAGGTTCATCCACACGGGCAAGGGGTCTGAGGCACAATCGGCACTACAGAATGTTCCACCACACGTTGCATGCTATTGCACGTTTCCACCAGAGAGGTCACCAAAATCCCCAAACTTACATAGTGTAGCTTTTAATGGTTGTATGTATTTTTAAATTGTAATGGGTAAGGAGTCAAATGTAACACGGACTGAGTACAGATACTTCATATCTGTATTCTGAATATGTGTTACAAATACTTGTATTCCTAACCCTGAAGTTAGGTATCTTTTTCCCACAGCGTGTGTATGTATATAAGTGCACATGATCTGCAAAAACGTTGGCTATTTTTAAAAGTAAAAGCCACAGCTTTGCATAGACTTACCACCTATTAAACATAGACATGGATAGCTGCTTTAAATCATCGGAGCAAGAGAGAGAGAGAGAAATGTGAAGAGCCTTTAGCTCTTCAGTGCTGAATAACAGTGTTTCTCTCTTCAATTAAAGTGGCGGCCTGTTTTTCAGCTTCTCTCCATCCTGGAGTAATTTTAGCTGGAGGTTACATAAAGCTGCTCTGTTACCTAGCAACAGCACCGTAAATCTGATTGGTATATTTTTTTTTCCTGCACGAGAAATGATGTCGGATCTGTAGATTATGGACATACTGCACTTGTGTAAATTCAGTTGGCCCCAGGACAGGCCAGCATCTGATTGGTGGTCATAGCAGACAGATGTCTGGATAAAAAGATGAAGTAAGAGGGACAAGCAGATGAAGAGATCAAAGAAAAACCTGAAGAATGAATATTTGAGAATGTTTTCTCTATGTGTTTATCATAATTATCCTGGTGCTTATGATGGTGGCATTAACACAAGCACCAAATGCCCTGAGTCAGGGACGCAAACTGACATGTAATTGGCAGGACAGCATCTGGGAGGCCGTACACTGAAAACACTCCCTGTGCTGGTGGTAGCCTACAGTGTCTCTGCAAACAGCATTTTAATCTCATCAGGGTCCGTCTATCGATCTCAGCAGCACAAAGCCCCTCAGCCTGACAGACAGAGAGAGGGAGAGAGAAGAAACTGTTCCATGTACTCCACTGAGTGCTCTGTTACCATAAACACTTTCTTTATTAAATAAGTACACCCACAGTGCTGTCCTTGTTTAACTCTCTCTCTCACAAACCTACAGATTATTGTAAACCATGTACTGCCAGCTTTCACAGTGTCTTTTTTCACATTAGTAGGTACAGTAGGTACAGAACGTTCCTACACCTCAGCATCTTAGGCCCTGTCTGCTCAATCCTTATTCCGTAAAATCTCTGCTTTACTTATTTTGAAAAACAACACAGAACAAATTTGATAAATCACTTCACTAAGATGGTGCAAGTGCATAAAAAATGGGTCACAGCTGGTATCTGACCACTCCTGCCTTCTTAAATAAGATGAGCTTTCAAACTAACAAGAAGTTATCAGTGATGAAATACCTCCAAACACAGCTTCAGATAAATGCAGCAAAGTGAGGAAGATATTCAGTGAGGGTCTGTTCAGACTTTTTTACAGACTTTATGGTTGTGTTAAATAAAGATAAAAGACCCTAAATGACAGTCATCCAGATCAAACCGTTGTTTGAGGCTACCAGGTCAGCAAGGCTACTTTTTGCTTATAACTCCATGTTTTAATAAAAACAGTCTGTTAACCCCTTAAGACCAAAGCCTAAAAGTGGTTTAAAATATCTTATAAATGTTTAACTTTAACTTGGTGATTACACTATCATCAGGTCTGTGCTGTACAGTATTAGTAGGAATGAATCCTGTGCAAATACAAAAAGAATACAAATGAGATAGCATTAAGCCTTGCTTTTAGGTAATAAACGATTTTGCTTCCTGTTTTAAAATTTGTGCCTGCAACCATACATACATTTGCAAGATCCTTCTGGTGTGGGTTTCCTCTCTCACAGTAAAGCACAAATGTGAGTGCTAATAGGGCCCCCTTTTAAGGAATCTGAATTATTGTGGAGAACAATAATTATCTGTACATTTCACAAAATAAGCATCAAAATGCATCAAAGCATGAAAATGTTTACATGCTGCTTTTGTTTTGTTTTTTTTTCCAGTTAAAATGACAGTTCATTCCACTTTTTGGGATTAATACTTTTTAAAAGAATCATGTTGTTTTTATCTCAGTGCTACAATATTTAAAGTTGAGCTACAATACTTGCAGCATTGGTAGCACCAGTGCTACCTGCTCTAAAAGTGTACGTTCAGCCATGCAGATGATCTCAGATTCACAAACTTCATCATTAAGCACAAATATTCAGAAAAGAATATGTAGAATAAATGCTCGCAGACCATTGATTTATATCTGCTTTAATCTGGTGGGTAAACAAAATTCTACAGATGTAGACTGATCCTTGGAAGTACGAGACACAAGGTGTATCAGAAAGATCATCTTCTGTGGGTAACATGGAATTAAAGCAAACGCTTATAGAGTTATTCGAGGACAGTGTGTAGTGAATGCGCCTTTTTTACAGGGGATGAAAGTTTGCATGGGCTTAGTGTAAATGTAATCATGCAGTAATAAGGGTGTTGCATATGTGTGTTTTGCAGTATCTGGGCTCCATGCTGGTTAAAGAGCTGAGAGGAACTGAATCTACTCAAGATGCATGCGCAAAAATGAGGGTAAGACTCTTCCCCCTGTAAGAGTCCGTATGTGGAAATGTCTCATAACTACATAATTTACATATTACAAATTAAATTATGAGTTATCAATCTGCAGTTTAAGTGTTTACGGTGCCTCCACAACAGGTAAACAAACCAAACCTGCCTGCTTCTGTCAATATGGCTCACTAGCTGCTGTGTGCCAAATGACAGCAGTGAATTTTAGAGAGAAAACATGCTGCCATTCAGCTCAGCAGCTTTTCTGGTTCTGGACCAGAAATTCAGTTTATAGTTTATATAGTTACCTCAGAGCCCTCAAGAAGGGGACTTTCCTCCACACACACAGAGAATGCTCTCTCTCTCTCATGCCTCTACCTTATGCATCCTCTCTCTGTGTCAGGAGTTCCATGACTTGTCTCTGCACTAGTGTTTTTATATTCATGTAATACGCCATCTGCCCTCTCTCTCAGCTTTTTTTTAAGCTGCAGATTTTGACAGGTCCAGTGTAGACATGCTGAGGCAAAGATAAATGCTAACCGAGAAAAAGGAATGAATAATAAAGCCTTGAATATATTACTGTCAGAACGGCTAGATAGAGGCAAAGGGTGGTGCTGGAGTTAATTCTGGGCACTACTATTCACAATCAAATTCACATAGTCATGAAATATTACTCTAGGTAGCATTCATGTTTTATGGAGGGTGTATACAGAACAACTTTGTGGTCCACACAAGAAGGGTGATAGCTATTTATCTCCTTGAATGCGGTGAGTTACTGCCTGATTTGCAGAGGAAATTGGTTTAGGTTTCTTTTTTGGGATACTGATTGCTTACTGGCTTTGTGTTTGGATCTGTTACGCTGTAATGAGTTTTGGGCTGGAGGTTTTTTGTAAGCTGGTGGGTGTTTGAGGTTGTGTAGCATGTTGGGTCTTGGGGCATGTGTGTGAGGATTTTTGTGTTGATCTCCTCTCGTCTGCTCTGTAAGAAGTCTACAGAACAAATGAAGAAAGTCCCTACTATCGTCCTCTCCGTCTCTTACAAGGGAGTGAAGTTCATTGATGCCACAAATAAGGTAAGAAGCCTTTCATTTAAAGTCACGTCCAGCACATTACAATCTGGAACCATGTTGAAATGTATTAGCCTTTAAGGAACATTAGAAAAAAGCCAGTGGGCTCGATATAATTTTAATGATTTAATTCTCTCTCACTCTGTGTAGAACATCATAGCAGAACATGAGATCAGGAACATCTCGTGTGCAGCACAAGATCCTGAGGACCTCTCCACATTCGCTTACATCACCAAAGACTTGAAGTCCAGCCACCACTACTGCCATGTGTTTACAGCCTTTGATGTGGTTAGTAACACATACAGGCACACTCAACATGGGCAGTTCATCTAAAATAAGAACTGGAACATTCTAAAGTCTATAAGGAAATGTTGAAATAGAACTAGTAAGCTTGAGTCCTAGAATTCACGATTATTGCTGGTGATATCAAAAGCATAGGATAATTCAGTATTAACACTCCAGGGTCTATGAACACTCCAGCGCATCAAATTCAATGTTTCTATGTATGTTTCTCTATCTGTGCAATAATATAGCACACAAATATGGTTCAGACTTTTCCTGAACCTGTAGTTTTTGCCCTTTCAATTCCATTTTATCACAAAATCATAACTGACTCCTGTCTGGAGTTATGAGCCTAGGAAGAGGGGCATGAGAAACATGATATATGCCTCTCACCATGTGTCATTCGTGGATTTGTGTGTCCATCTACATTTTTTGTAAGACTGACCAATGAACACTCTGAAAATCACTAAGCACTTACCCATCATGTCGAAACCCTTCATTCTTTATTCAGACAACACTGGGGACATGTGAAATGATGTGCAAAGTGTTTACAGCTGCTAAAGTTGCTGCAGTGGTTTTGGAAAGTAGTGACAAAAACTAATGGATATTGTGTTATATGCAAGTGCTTTTAAAGGCGAATTTAAGAAGATATGCAAAAATCGAGAAAACACTCTTAGACCCCAGAGAGTTAAGTATTTCTCACTAATTGCTCATTGAAACAAATGGAGAAATTCTGTCGAAAGGTACAGTCTCCATATTCCTGATTTGTGCAACCGCCTAAGCATTGGCTCTGTCGTTGGAAGATTGCGAGTTTAATCATCGGCGATTCCACAGCCACCATGGCTGAGTCTTATGAGAACATAATCGGTCTTGCTCTCTCTGGATGGGCTGGAGGGCCTGGATGGCCCTCTCTCTCCTCACATCACTCAGCGTGATGTTAGCCAGCGCAACAGCAATAAAATCAGCAGTTATCATTCTCATCCAAATGCACTGAGCTGTCCAATGGTATTGCATTAGCAGCGGTTTGAAAAGATGCGGTGGTGCAACATATGGACTTTTGTGTTCATTTGTTAAAGAGGAGATTTTTTTTATAATTTGAATCTGATGAAAAGTTGTGTACAAAGGTGTGTAGTATTGTTGAACATATCTGTCTGATTTTGTCATTTTTTGACATACATTGTTTCAAATAAACAGAATCTGTCAAAACCGGAGACACATTAATGAACATAATTTTAGTACATGAAAAAAAAAAAGATTTTACTGAAACCCAACAAAAACATTAGTATGTGGTGTGACCTCCATTTGACCATAGGAGTGCAACACATTTTTAGTAAAAAAATCTGAAACTGTGGCAAAATGGGAACAAAACTAAAAGTAAGGCATTTATATTTTTGTTCAGTACATGTAAATTTATCAGCGGTAGGTGTATACTTCTAAAGATTAAACTTTAAACAAACTGCAGTATTCTAACTAAAATAAGTTAAAAGGAGAAAGTATCACACTAGTACACACTCTCACATATATGCACAAATACACGCATGAACTGTAATTGTTTTTACTCTTCTTTTTTTCACCTGTTATTCATATTCTGACTGGTTTTCTCTTCTCTTTCTGTGGGTAGAATCTGGCCTATGAGATCATCCTGACACTAGGCCAAGCATTTGAGGTGGCCTATCAGCTTGCCCTGCAGGCCAGGAAGGGCGGCCACGGCTCCTCTACACTGCCCGAAAGCTTTGACAGCAAACCCTCCAAACCCATCCCCAAACCTCGTGCCAACATCCGCAAATCTGTGAGTGCTGGATGCACACACACACACACACCCCCACTCCAACATGCACGCTCACTCACACGCTCACTCTTACTGGCTCTGTCTCATTTCACCTCTCCACTCTCCTCACCTTTTCTGCGGCAAACTATCCTCCCCGTCTGTGTGTGCTGGCCCTGAGGCTCATGAGTGCAGCTTTGTGCCTAATGCTGCTAAATCCAGTTCTCCATCCTCACCTCTCCCCAAAGGCTTCTTCTCTAATCGCTTGCTTTTGGCCTGCGCTTGATCGACTCATGATCCAGATATATTAAAAGATTAAATGTCCTGTTGAATAAGTTCAGTGCTATGGAGAGCTGTCATCATGTTGGAAGTCCTCACTCTACTGTCTGACATTTTTCCCTGTTTCCCTGTTAATTTGGTTGATTTTGGTTGCATCTTGTTTGTGTTGGTTTGAATTGCATCGCATCTGTGCGACTGTGACGGACAGTGCAGGGACAAACAATCTAAACATGTATCTATGTGTATATCTATGTATCTGTTTATATAAGTGCATATTTTACAGGCAGAAAGTTTGGAAGCAACACCAACTCTAAGAAAATTAGCATGAAAAGAGGAGTAATGGACAGTAATATGTTTATTAACATTGCTGAAGTGATCTGTCCACAACAATACTGTACAACTAACTGGTTCTTCGTTAGTTTTGATCCTGGTGGTTCTCCTGCAGAGTTTATTGGATCTCTAATCATATCTATTTAAAAACATCTTCAACATGCTTCTATACCTTTGGCCTGTAGTGTACGGTACTGTGCAAAAGTCAGAGACCAACCCTCAATTTATGTAATTTCCAGTCGTAACGGACATTAAGTAAGTTATTAATTTTTGAGCATCAGAAGAAAAGCAGAAAATAAGTTGTATTTATTACACAGAAGCCTCAACAACTAAATATAATCAAATGTTTAAGTGTGTAGTGTGTTCACTCTTTGCCTTCATTACAGCTCTCATTCGTTTCAGGAGACTTGCATTCAGTTTTTCAATGAAATCTGCAGGGATATTTTTCCCCACCTTTTTTGGTCTTAGAAGTTTTATTTTCTGCTTTTCACAATACAAGACAAGTAATCACAGACACCCAATCCATTGCTCTGAGAAGGATGGACAGAAAACACCTTTGTTTTTTTTTTTTAGATCTGAAGCAAGAATTGATTGAGCTTGATTTTCTCTTGTCTCTCAAAGATGAAAGCTTTAAGTACCATTTATCTGTTGGTAAGTGTTTTGGTGGTCTACAGGTCTTGCACCGTTGCTATAGGTCCCATTTTCTCTCTGTATAATGTATCCGTTGTGACTGGAAAATAAAGAATTGAACTTTCTGACTTTTGCATAGAGCTGTATATCGCTGTATAAATAGATATGCCAAAGTGTGCATGTGTGTGTGTTTGTTTAGGTGCAACTGTGAAAGGACTCACAGACGCTGGTGTTTGTCACTGTGTGGTTGTGTGTGGGGCTGTGTGTCCTGAGAGAAAGGTGTGTGTTTGATGGGTAAACTGTGCCCTCTCTCTCCTCTGTGGCCAGTGGCTTAAAGCTGAGGGTGATTGATGAGGTACTGTTTGCTTGGAGCTCCACTGCTCAGCTCTGTCTGCCCCGCAGCCTACCTCTCCAGCCACCCCGGGCCCACTGACCCACTGACAGCCATAATTCCTGCACCTTCCCCTGACACTGCCAAGCATATTACGCTAATCTGGAGCAGCCTCACAGCAAGGGCCAAGCGCGTTACAAAAGCAGGCCAGTGATGGATAACACACAGTGTAGTTGCAGATGGATGTTATTTAAAGATAAACTTGTATTTATGGCCCTCAGTGTCCTCTTAAGGGATCCTGGGTTTTGTCACAGTCCTGTTTCTACTGGGACAAAGGCTTTATAGGCCTAGAGAGTCTAGTCTGGGAGCTGTGGTTGGGCAATATCTCAAACTACATACACTATATCTTATCAATATATATTTTTCTGTTGTGTTCAATAGTGATAATTATCAGTAATTATTGTATGTGTTTCTTAATGTTCAACTTAAAGTCAGAATAATAAATATACACCCACTTACTGTCCATTTTATCAGCTCCACTTACCATATAGGTGCACTTTTTAGTTCTACAATTACAGACTGTAGTTCATCTGTTTCTCTGCATATCGTACTGTTACACCATTTATCAATGGTCAGGAGCCCCACGGAGCCACCACAGAGCAGGTACTATTTGGGTGGTGGATCATTCTCAGCACTGCAGTGGCACGGACTTGATGGTGGTGTGTTAGTGTGTGTTGTGCTGGTACGAGTGGATCAGACACAGCAGTGCTGCTGGAGTTTTTAAACACTGTGTCCACTCACTGTCCACTCTAATAGACTCTCCTACCTTGTAGCACAATTTGTGTTGGTCATCCTCTAGTCCTTCATCAGTGGTCACAGGATGCTGTCGGCAGGATGTTTATGGGTTGGTGGACTATTTTCAGTCCAGCAGTGACACTGAGGTGTTTAAAAACTCCAGCAGCACTGCTGTGTCTGATCCACTCAAACCAGCACAACACACCACCACCATATCAGTGTCACTGTAGTGCTGAGAATGATCCACCACCCAAATAATACCTGCTCTGTGGTGGTCCTGTGGGGGTCCTGACCATTGATGAATGGTGGAAAGGTAACAAATTATGTAATTGTTACTACAGTCTGTAATTGTAGAACTGTATAGTGCACCTATATGGTAAGTGGAGCTGATAAAATGGACAATGAGGGTAGATACCAGGTAGGTGTACCTAGTAAAGTGACCATCGAGTTTTATATTAAGATAAAACATGAAGCACAGATATTTTTTTTTTTGCTCCATAAGTCAATACCTTCTCTGTCAACACTGAAAAACTCACAGTATGCATAGGTTTTGGCACCCCGTTGAAAATAAGTACACATCTTCTGCAGAGAACACACATATGTTAAGCTCAGCAAATAAATAGAAACTGTGCACTAAAATATGCAAAACAATGCAATATTTAAGTGTGTTCTCTGTAGAGGATATGCCAACTCATTTGCTCTGAGAAAATCAACAAAACATGCAGTGTGACCAGGGATCTTCAGAGTTTAGCATATGACTGTACCTGTCCTAACTGTCTCAGTTGTCCATACTGTTGCCAGTGAGTGGCTAGACTTTTCTTTGTCGAGTAAAAGGCACATATCACCACCGACGGAAGCAGTTCAATGTTCAAGCCTTTGCTGCTAGCAAAACTTTGATTAACAGAAAGGCACAATCATTTATTACTGATAAGAAAATAATATGCGCTAGGCACAAGCTAGTCCTGGACAACAAATGCTGGGGTCACTTTGACACTCCCTTTTATGTAAGCACAAGTTCCTCCTCCAGTATGTCCATACATTGTGCATGTGTGTGAAAGAGAGTGTGTGTGTAATGTGTAAAGAGGACTGCTGAGTTAGCAGCTTCACATTGACCATTTACCGTTTCCCTGTGGCTGTGTGTCTGTGTGCGTATGTGCCTTCACACGAAAAGTACAGTATACAGAACAGCCACACTAATAGATTTTATTGATTTTCCTATGTGCAACAGAACGTGAATGTTATGTTGCTACATACTCATCTCTTCATCCATATAAGTGATTTACTATTACCCTCATCCTTTTAGAATCAGTTCTCTCTCTCTCTCTCTCTCTCTCTCTCTCTCTCTCTCTCTCTCTGTCTCTCAGTCTCCCTTTGTCCTCCTCTTCCTCCCCGAGCCTTCATCTCTGTGTGTGCTTCGCTGGGTGTGTCTGTGCCGGAGTGTTGCTCCTCTCTGACCTCTGTGACCTCTATAACCTCTGTCTTCCACCCCTAGGTCATGTCCCCCTCTAGCCGCTGGTCCCTGGGGCACATATACACCCCGCACCGGCCTCCTCTCCACCCTCCTTCCTCACGACTCCTCCTTCTCCATCCACACAAAGTTCAATTTCAGGTCTCCTTGCATTTTCCTTTCCTTTTGCCTTCTTAGCTCTCATCCCATTAGCTCTCATCCCATGTTATTCGGTTTCTGTTCGTTATTCTCCTTGGTTCCACTTGGCCTCGTCTGCATTCGGTTGCATTTGCTTAGCACTGTTTAAAGGAATAGTTTGGTGAAAATCAAAGTTACACAATTTTCACTGTACCCCAAATGTACTGCAACATGCAAGACTTGTTTCATGTCCAAAATGTACTTCTCTACTTGGAGCTACAAGTAATGGATGACATAAAGTAACAATACTGTAGTACAGTACAAAACCTTTGTTTTTAAGGATCATATATATGTTTTCCAATGATTGTATTTCAAAACAGATTCTTTACTTTATAATTTACATATGTTTGAAAACCAACTGAGGATTTTTGTATCAAACATCTTTCAGGACTTGATTAAATGCCAAATTCTTAAAAAATCTAAACTTTGATATATTTATTTGCAATTTTTTTGCCATTTTACTAGCAAATTAATGTACTAAACCACATTGGTGTACTAAATAGTATGTCAAAAATAGTGCACCACCATTAGCAGGACATTCATTAGTGTGGTATATATAAGGTAGTAATGTGTAGTTTTGAGGCACAGTCACAGTGTTTTATACTAATGCGAGGGTAAAAGACCAAAAAGGAGAATAAAGTAGCCTGAAAAGTGATTAGGTAACTTCTTTGTGTGGTCACAATGGCCTAGAAATGCAGCAGTATTCATGTAAGCCAGCCAATAGTAAGACAGACATTTTTTTTACTTCCTTCTACTTTTTTCTTATTTTTTTCTGATTCTCTTTTGGTCAGATTAATAAGGGAACAATGTGTCATTTTTATTTTTATTTATTTTTCACAACTATTCCTTCAACAGCACCCCTTTTGACTGAATCATTTTTTGCTTATCTGTCTGACTCCCCTGCTGACGAGTGCGTGTATGTGAGCATGTTGTATATCGTCCGTCTGCGTTAACTGCTGAATCAGCATGCTGTGGACTTCATCGGTCTGTGAGATCCTTTCCTGCATTTTTCAGTCTAGATGACCACGCTGCATCATTTCGTGCAGCTGTGCTCCTCACTGGCACTGTGCTGTTTAGAGTCACGGCAGCTTTGCAGGCCTCAGACTGAGCAGCAGTAGGAGTTTTCATCGTAGGAAATTACAGGTTGTGTGCATTTAATCAGAAGCGTGTGTATTTGTGCGGGCGTGTGCGTGTGTGCATTTGCGTATGTGAGATTTAGTCAGAGGGAGTCAGGCAGTGTGAGGATTATGATATTTAATATTCATGTAGCTCCATATGGAAGAACCTGATAAAGAAAGGAAGATGTAGATGACAGAAGGCGTAGATTACCGTGTTGTTCCTGTTGAGAAGCTCAGTCTTGAGCTAAGTGTGGATCTCTGTGTGGGGAATGAATATCAGGCACCATGGATACAAGGACAGCAGTGTGATTGGTGGTTATAGCTGTTGTAGCGTTGTCTCTAGGAGTGTAACAGATCATATTTTACAAAGGAGATACAGCATTGTTGATTTTTGCTGCTAATTAGATTTACTGTTCTACTGTACTGTTTTGCAATTTGAATGTAATTTCATAAATATTGCATAGAAATGCATCAAATTCAAATCATAAAATATTTCTTCTTCTGTTTACAAATATAAATCTGGTATTCATTTAAGGTGAGTTCAGTTTCAGTGAGCTATGCCTGAACAATAATTAATATAAAATTATAACATGTTCTTAGTATTGTGGGCATTTTAAAGGAACACACTGGTCAAAAAATGCAACCACTGATAAATATGTTGCAAGATTTCCTGGTTTGAATACTGGAAACCCTCACTTCTGATGACATATCTTGAAGGTGGGAGTACATTTTGAAGGACTAGCACTCTTGAGCAGATAATTGGGAACTGGCTATTTTGATTATTTTTTATTTTTTTGCTAGCCAGATGGCTAATACTAGAAGGCTTTATATCTTCTTAAAGCAGTTGTATAACTTTGCTTACTGTCTTCAAATCATTAGTACAATGGAGAATGTGGATTACTTGAGGAGGTCAAGTTAAAAGGTACGCTTAGCAAGTTAGCTGGCTAGCTAGCTAGATATCTTACCTCTGTTTGACAGCTTTTCTCTAGCTGAGAGGGGCAGGGTCTCTAGAATCCATTGTATTTTGATTGAAAGCAAATTCAGCACTTTGTTTACAATCCACTTTGGTATCTATTGAGGTACTCCCTCAATGTCAGTGTCTCCCGTGGTCTTCCAGTTTGAAGTTCTGTCTACACATTCATAAATAGTCACACTTTTTCTGTTTCGTCTTAGCATCCTTTCGTATACTGGCTAACCGTTTTTCAAAGTTTGACATCTTTTCAGTAAAACGGTGAAAAACAGAACTTTTCTCAGATATCTTGCCCCCGGATATGCTGCACTGTCTCTGCGTAAATTAATTGTGTCTTAAAAAAAGAAATGACTTGTTCAGTGAAACTGAGGTACATGCTATACCGGTTATTCTAGCTAACAGCATGGATGTAACATGTTTATAAGCCTTTAGGACTTAGGAATCAACATCACATTGCATTATAGGATCGTTTTGTTGTATTGGCAGGGTTCATTCTTTGATTACATTCAACAAAAAACGCACTTACACTGCAAGAGCTTAAAGAGATTACCGTTTCATTGTGTTTTTTATGGCTTGCTGTGTTTAAAAAGTGAATAAAATGAAAAGGGAGAGTATCTTAACCAACTCTACAGGGATGCCAAATAATGATCTATAAATAAAATTAGAATTATTGATGGTGTGGCTACGAACTCCCAAATAAGGAGTAACTGATAATCTTGATGTGCTTCGTCCTTTTTCATTCACAGAGTTTGGTTGTGGCTTAAGTGTCTGTTCTTTTCAGTGACACAGATTTTCAAGTCACTCGAAGCCCATGTGCAGTTTACAAATAGTTATTCCACTCAGCCACTGGCAGATGTAACCAGAGAGGACTAGTACAATATTTGATTTAACTCAGGTAGCCTTTTAGCAAACACTGCTTGCCTGGATAACTGTCAAACTAATGACAATATTACTGTACTGTACTATATTAAACCCACAAGAATCTGTATTAGATCACATATGGCTGAATTTTGCATTGACGTAGCAGACCAAAATCCCCAATATCCCCCACCGAACCACTGCACACGCGCACACAGCACACACCCTCTCGACTGCTTGAATCTGTAATCATGCTACAAGCGTTATGCATTTACATTGAAGTAATCGTCTGTCACCTCTGCAAACACCACTAGCCCAGTCACAGCATAACTAGTTTCACCAAAACAGAATGTTTTGAAAGGGTAGGTTTGACGATCACTAGTGGTAGTATCAATGCACACTTAACCACAAAGCTGAGATTGGCTTCTTCTTCACCACCCTCTTATTTGAATCATCCATTCTACCTTAAATGGTGCAGCAGTTAGATTCTGGCATCTGTGGAGATTTATTTAGCTGATTCCAAATGTGACAAATCCACTAAGTTATGTTGAAAGTTTTATATAATTAAATCAATATGATGTATCCACATTCTCACTGCAGTGTTTTCTAAGTGCTATTTAACTGGAACTGCGTTCAAATAATGAAGCTGCTTTTCCATCTGCTTTCCTTTATTTTGCTCTGATCTTTGATCTGGTAGTCATGTAGATGCTAGACGGCACTGCGAATATATTTAGTGAGTTTGTGGGCTTCAGCCATTCAAGCCAAAATCAAGGAAAGCAACAAGAAAATAAAGATGCATTTAACTGTTCAGAAGTAGCCTAGACTGACTAACCCTGCCACAGATCATCCGTAAGACACTGCGTCATGACATCACATTCCCAAGCCCTGTAGATCATTGACTAACAGTCATGATTGGTGGACTGCGAAATGGCTGGTTGTAAGGTGTATTTGTGTAGTGCATGCTGGGTATTGTAGTAAAAAGACATTGATTTGATTGACAAAATTGTCACATGTCAAACTGGTGAGGCTGAGGAATACAGGGCTGTGCTACTCAATACTACATAACATGGCAAATAACAACTCTTGAAGCTTTTGAGCTTTGAATTTTAAATTCCAGAGTTTCTGAAAGGACTAAGGGCTTTCACTCGGATTTTGCTGTGCAGAGTCTGTGTTTATGTGGTTAACAAAATCACTCTGCTCTGTCCTTCAACCTTCTTGCTCTCTCTCTCTCTCTCTCGCTTTATTTTCTATCCCTGCTCTCCTTTCAACACTCCCCTCTCCCCCTCACTCCCCCCACCCCGTCTAACCTTTTTTTATCTCCGTCTCGTCTCTCCCTCCTCCGTCTGACGCGCTCTCTCGCTCCTGTCTCCTACCCCAGATGGAGCAGCCCTCGATGGACCAGAAGGGCCACGGCAATGTCCCCTGGATAGTGGAGCCGGGACAGGAGGCGAAGAGAGGCGTCAACACCAAGTATGAGACCACTATTTTCTAATATACACCCACACTGTCCACTTCCTGTGTGTGTGCCTTTCAGAGAGCGCCCTCTAGAGGCCCCCCACGGAGCCACGGGCCCAGTGACCTGTGACCCGCCCCGCGTCCCTCCGCCCGGTCCAGCCGTATACCGTGGCCTCTGCATGATGTCGCTGCTGCTGTCTCTCTCTCTCTCTCTATCTCTCACACTCGCCCGCTCTCCCTATCTCTCTCTCGCTCCCCCTCTCTTTGACTGCAGCTCTATACGGGAGGGTCACGCTCAGCCCTCAGGCCGACACACTGCGTGTCACACCCTCCTTCACTACGCTCTCATTCTCCTCCAACTAAAAAAAAAAAATGAGTGTTGTTTTTTATCCCCCCGGTTTTTTCCCCCTTTCCCCTCCGTTCTACGCTTTTACTCTCTCCCTCGCTCCTTATGGGAGCAGCAGACCAGTATCCCCCACCGAACACACAGCACACACCCTCTCGACTGCTTGAATGAGAACTTTAAATCCGTAATGCTGCTATAAGCGTGTCACTACAACGTTTTAGTTGGGAGGGGGTTTACTTTTGTTTGTCAGCAGGCAGCGCGAGACGCAGTTAGCCGTGGGGGTTTTTGGGGCAGGACAAAAAGGGAGGGGATTTTGAGACAGCCAGCGTAGGAATGGAGATCGAATGCCACTTAAGGACATTTTGCTTGTGTGCTATGTAGCAAAATTTTGATTTGAATTAAAAAAAAAAAACAAATGCTTGTCTGAAAAAATGGCATTTCAATCCTTTTATTTTGGAAGATTTTTTTTCTTTTGCAAACATATCCAAAATGGCCTGTATGGGCCAGCCTGGGGTTTGGCTTGTTCTAAACCGTGCTGGAGTCGTGTTTTAAGTCAGGGTGTTCCGTTCATATCCGCTCTCCTGGCAACAAGCAAGTGTGTCAAAACTGCATTTAAAGGAAGCTTATTTTACACTGAAGCATTTTCGAGCTATTTTAATCTGTAATTGCTTTTCCTATTTTTGGTATGTCGGCCCTGAAACAGGCACTTTGGCCTGCAGAGAGCATGTGGTCCGTGTTGGACTGATGAAGGGGGCATCTGAGAGGCTTTTTTCTTTTTTCCTTTTTTTTTTTTTTTTTGATGGACGCTCTGGATAAGTGATTTAATCTCATTCGCAGGGCAGTGCCGGACGCCCATGTCTATTACTGTGGAAATCAAAGAATGTAGCCAGCCCCTAACATGGACCCTCTCATACACACATTGCAAAAAGGACTACAAATGTGGAGCCTAAAACTGGCACTGGACTACAGACATGGCAGAGCCTCTCGTGAGTGGACTTTTAGCATAAACACAGTGTGCGAAAGATTGCCGGCATGGACCTACGGCCTCTTACATGTGCACAGACACTACAGCGGACTACAGAATGACAGGGAATGTACACTTCACTCTGAGCCACTTCACTGCATCGTGCTCAGGCTTTGCTACAAGGGCCCGTGGACTATGCTGTGTGAGGGAGAACGTTGGGGGAAAGGCAAGGTGCCATGGACATATACCATGGTCACTCTCACAGACTCATTTTGCCCAGGTCTATAGTCCAAAATACCTTGGCATGTCACGACCGGGGCAAAAGTGGATCTCTTGGTTTGCCGTATTTTTACTTTTCAGTTGTCCTCTTCAGTTTCCCTTCGGTTTGTTTATAGTTGATTCTACATTATTAATATTATGCACAATGTGAATGGATTTATTGCACTGGACAACCATGAAATTGACTCGTCTTGTGCCAAAATCACTACAGAATTGTTGTTGACATGATTGACAATGCCATGCAGATTACTATTCATATTGGCTAAACATTTTAATGTTTAATAGAAGTCTATATTGCCATTATTCTAATTCTTAATTAACTATTATTATTATTATTATTATTAATTATTATTATTATTCTTAATGTGCAATTCTTGTCTAATGTTGTCTTAATGTTATATTATTTTTATATAATATGTTGGGCTTGAGAATAATAGCCATCCTAAAAAAGAAAAGTATTAATATTGTAGTAAAGCAGAGAATGTGTGAATGGCTCCACTCAACTTTGCTTTCAGGTGAAGAGGCCATTGTTTCTCATGGGGCTGTTACACAGAGACAGATGTACTATTTTAACTCAGTGTCACTGTAGAAATTTTTGCCACAGTTCTCCTGTAAATAAATATTTTGTTGACTCATTGTTCATACATGTAATGTAGTTTAACATAAAAAGAAGAAAAATGAATAAAAGAAAAAAAAGAAATAAATGACATCACACTGGTTAACATGGTACCAAAACTGATTTTACTGTTGAAAAAAGAGCTTGTGTGAGCGGAGAAGCAGAGTTGCTAACCTACATGTACATAGGCTTGGGCTTCCAGCACTCTAAGTTTTCTAAGTTTGGTCTTTATTTATATCCTGGCAAAGCACATGGAATAAATTGGACTTGTACGACCATTTCCTGCTGCGTGGCCTCTGCTTCCTCCATTTCTCCTCCATTAGCACTCAGTCTGCATTAAGAAAGTCTCCAGTCCTGCAAATCAGCTCCATCCTCTAGTGTTAAATCAAATTAAGTTATTATTGAAGCCAGGTAGAAAGTTCATGCTTAAGACTCACCCCTCTGAACTTACATATACTACCAGTCTGAAGATTGGAATCACAGTTTTCAATAAAATAAAGCCAATAATGCTTCTAAAGTTCCTACTGCTTTCTAATATAATGTTAATAGTTTGTTGGAAGCTGTAATAATTAAGAAAGATTTATTATTATATCATAAATAATGAACTTACTATACAATTAACTCATGGTAATTCATAGTAATTTTGTGACAGGAAAATACTATAAATAGATATTTATTTTTATTCAGGTTATTATTTACAGTTGTGTGCAACAATTAAACCCCTAGTCAAATTGCATGTTTCATGAACTTTCTAAGTGAAATTAAATTAATATGTCTCCTACAGAGAACTCAAATATGAAATTTGTCCACAAATTTTAGTGCACAATTTCTGCCTATTTGCTGAGTTTATGTTGGAAGAAAATCTAAGATGTGCCAGAACATTTTATGTTAATTTTTTTCCAGTATGTTAAATTAATTATGTCAAATAAACAGTAATTGTGTATTTTAAAAGTGCAGAAGTGTGTTCTCTGTAGAGGACGTGTTAACAACTGTGGGATCAGGGCGTCCAAACTTAGGACTGTAATAACATTTTTTTGTTTGTTTGTTTTTTTTAACATCATAACTTGTCTTTGCTCCCAAAATACTTTAAATGAATGTGAATAAAATATTGGTTTACATTTTGTTGTCTAGTTTATTACATTTCAATCTGCACTGTATAAGTTAGCGATGAGTAAAAATATAAATTACTTTTATTTAGTTATTTATTTATTAATTAGCAGGTGATTTCAAACTTTTGAATGGTAGTGTATGTATCTATTTATCCATCGCACCCCACCACCTTCACATTCACTCCACATTCCTCCTTCCTCAGTCCTTCAGCACAGTGTCGTCTCAGCCCTCTCAAGAATGTGCAGTTTTTCTCAATCCTGGTCTTGGAGTTAACCTCTGCATACCTGATCCAACTAATCAGCTCATTAAAAATCTTGTTCTGAAATCTCTTTCTTGAAATGGGGAAGCAGGGAAATACTAAAATGTGCAAAACTGTGCAGTGGTACTCCGAGACCACCATTGAAATCCACTGTTTCAATGTAAAGCATAAGTTAATCAGAGCTTCCAACCCAAATTCTAAAGCTGCCTTTACACAGTGAAACTTACATGCAACCATTTGCGTATTGTAAGTTGCCTGCAACATAGTTTCTGTGCAACTTGACAGTTACATGAAGCAATTCAAATAAAAAGCTGCACACAACACATTCAGTTACTGCACTAGATAACCAAATAAGCAGCTTACAACACTGTATCGCTCTCGCTATGAAGTCATCCATGAGGCAAAATTTACATAGCTGCAGCATTTTTATCATCTTTGTGTATTTTTTCCAGCTATCATTGTCTTTATTTTTATTCTATATATTCTATGCAATAAATCCTTCTAGATATCTATCTAGGGTTCCTTACTATATATTGGATTTTTTATCTGTTGTTTGTTACAGCCTACTTGATGTCTCATTCATCCTTTCCTAGAAGCATAAGTTTATCATGGACTGCATCACTGTCTCCTCTTCAGTAATAATTTTCATCCCTTGGACCTAAAAGTGCTCTGTAAAAATATAGGAGGCATCAAGAGAGGAGAAAATGAATCCAGCTATGCAGTTAACAGCTGGCTAGAGAAGAATAAACAGTGGCACAAGCAGTAATTTAAAGAACTGTTACCATTATGCGGCTAGTCAGCTGCTGGTAACAGAAACGCTTGCTTTGAGAAACTCACGGTCATGTTTGCTGTCATGGCTCAGGAAACTGACAAAATGAAAACCATCATCATTTAGTCAGCTTGCGAGGGGACTCCTTTTTAACCAGTAGACCACCTTCTGTTTTATTTTCTTGTCCACTGAGCCATTGATCCAGTAATCCAGATCTAATGAATTCAATGGTTCAAAAGTATTGTCATTTAGATGGGCTGTTTCAGGTTGAAAAGCTTGCAACTTTTGCGGCTGGGTTTTAATGAGTTGCAGGGTGCTTTACATCACGCAACTCAAAAGCAATATAGTTTCATGTTAGTTTTAAGCAACTAAAGTTGCATGAAAGTTACACCGTACAAAGGCACTCTTAGAATTCTCTTCCCTCTAATGCAACCTACTTTCATACAAATCTTGCCACTTTCAATCTGATTGTGATTGTAGGCCTGTGAGGGAGAAGCGAAAGTGGCTTTACATGGTGAAACTTTCCTGCAACTTTAGTTGATTGAAACCTACATGGAACTATATTGCATTTGAGTTGCAGAATGCGTTTCATTATGCAACTGAAGTGCAATTTAGTTCCATGTTGGTTTTAAGCAACCAAAGTTGCAGGAAAGTTTCGCTGTGTTAAGCAACTCTTAAAGCTTTCTCCTCTCTCTCACAATCCCACAATCAGATTGAAGGTGCGGTCTGCACTAGCAAGATTTGCGTGAAACTAGGTTGCATTAGAGGGCCATTCTGAAGCCTCATAAAGCTTATTAATAGGATGTCACTGTCAGTGTTTCCTGCGTGTTGTACATCTCAGCAAGTCTCATCCTGATTTCTGTGGCACTGGGGCAGCTTGGTGAGAAATAAGGCTTATACGGGAGAAAACATGGCTTGCAAACTGACTCTTTTTCCAGCTTTCTGCATGAAGTGCATCAGCTGATTAGGAGCCGTATGACGCCTGTCGCACTGAATGAGATTCAGCTGAGAGACTCGAACCATCTTACGCGATGCGTTCTGACAAGGATGTTGTGTGTGCGCGTTGTCACGGTGATATCGCCTTTAGGCATGATGAAAAGATGCGGTTCATCTGTGGTGGCCTCTGTTGCCATGGAGCTTCCACCTGAACATTCTTCTACACCTATTCTACTTCGTTAGTCTTTCAGCATTGTGCTGCTGTGGATCATGTTCGCTCAGTGATGGATGAACATGAGCTCCACAAAGCAGCAGCTCTGTTTAAATGGAGACAAGCGTCTACAGATTACCAAGCACACTAAGCAGCTGTACCACATCTCAGAGCATGATGCTGGGTTTCAGTGTGGTGCTCTAAGAATGACTGTGCCAACAGAGAAGTTTTCCCGACTTAGATTAATTGGGCACTTTTCCCGGCTTCTGAGAATTAAGAACCTGCCTTGTTTAGCAGGTTTTTTTTTGTAAACTCAATATAGGACACACCACCAGACAGAGAGAGGCCCTATATTCTGTACAAGTTGTGTCTAGCAGACGTCTCCAGAGTGCTTGATGTGAAGGTTAACTTTAGCTGCTGATCCCACTAGAGCTCCGTCAAGAACATCTACACCATGTAGACATTTCCAGCCCAAGCTAAAAGTTTAATCCCCTCAGTTTTGCTGAAAGCTCGCAGCACTCCTGTTTCACAAGCTTAAAAATCAGGAGGAACGCAGTGCTGCTTTCATTACTGTGCATTACACAAAGATCTGAATGACATTTTAGCAAAAACGTGGACTTATTATTAAACATTATGCACTCGGCATGATTTCATCACTTAGAAGGAGAGAGCGAGAGTACTGGAGGATCCTTGTGTCCCAGATGGTTCGTATCCTCCAGCCATTTGCTAAATTAAGTATCAGAGGATAACCGTTTATGTAATTATATCACAGATTAATTAATTAGCACTTACAGAAAGTGCCAAATAGATTTCGAGAGAGATAAGGGGGGTAGTTATCAAAGTAATCTATGAGAAATCAACCAGGAGTGAAACTGCTGAAAGCAACTTAAGTGCAGAGACTATAAAATGGTAAGTAAGTGCTCTTAAGGTTAGTATGAAGTGAAGTGGGTCCTGAATTTTTACGTTTTAGACATGAATAGCTCACTCTACATGCTACTGTGTTTCTATATGGGGTCATTCCATGAATATAGGACATTAAACTACATATATTAATTTTTTGGAGTTCTGTTAGAATAAGGATTTGCTTACCTCTTAGAAAACGTATCATGTCAAGGACTTTTTTATTGAATATGAACAATTTTCTTACCTTGACAGTTGACTGCATCAACTCCTTTAATATTTGTGGTACCATTTTATTTGGAGAGGTCCTTTGTAGATGATTAATAAACTCTTAACAGATTATCAGAAACATATCAACATTTCAGTGAAGTAGCAGTAGTGCAGCATCTGAATACATTGAGATAAATATCTTGTAGATGTACTGTTGATATATTACTTACATTACATTAAGTAGTATTGTTAACATGTTACTTCCATTACACAACACCTAACCTTATCCAGCCTTACCCAAAACCTGACCTTAACCCTGGCTCTAATCCTAACCTTAACCTCAACCCAAAACCTAATCCTAAACCTCATATGTTTTTGACATGTTACTGAGAGTCTGTTGAGTGTTTGTTTCATCTAAAAAGACCACTCAAAATAAAGTGTCACCATATTTGTTTAGTGATCTAAACATATGAAAGCTTGAAGGACATAAAGATCTACATGCTGTCAAATAAGTGTTGTTCATAAATAAGCAAATTAATAGTACAGTAGTTTTTAAAACTTTGTTTAAAAGAACAATTGATTTTTATTTAGCAAACACACAGTTTATCATTTAAAATGAATTGCATTGTAAAAATACTTAAAGTTGTCTGAAAAAGTTTGGTCAAATACATTTTGTCGATTTTCTAAGTGAAAATAAGTTAACACATCCTCTACAGAGAACGTACTTCCGTATTTGCTGAATTTAACATATGAAAACATAAAACATAAAATATGGCCTGTGCAAAAGTTATGGTACATTGTATATTTTATGTCTTATTTTCTTCCAATGTGTTAAACTCAGCAAATAAATAGAAATTGTGCACTAAAAGAAAAATCCCAAAGTCT